ACATCATAAATACAATAAGTTTAGCTGTGTTTTCTAAATAGCTCATGCATTCAAATGCATTTAAATGATATTAATGAGGACTGATGAACTGTGTTTAAATACATAACTGAAAGTCAAGAGTACCTAATCATATTCGACTTAAAATCATCTGAAGTTATAAATGTAACCAGTTGCGAAGATGCAAGTATTTACCTCCAAACGTGTTTTATGAGTAATCTGGGCTTATTTGGGCGCATTTTGTATAATCTACAAAAAAATACATTGCCATAGAAGACAGGTAACTCGAAGTCGTTGATGCTCAGTAGATTAATGAACGAATATGGTCGAAACGAAAAAAGTCAAAATATGAGGAGCTTATGTTTTCTTCAAAATAATAGCTGAATTATTTCAGCAAGAACATTAGAGTCTTCCACATGATGACACACTCAAATGACAAATGCACCTGTGGAGTTGTCCGTTGGCGCCACTAGATAAGAAACTACATCTGATAGATAACTGCATCGAGATAAAAGCATTCTGAGTGAAAAAAAATAACGGTCGAACAGGTGTATTAATTGAATATAAAGGGTACATTATAGTTTTTTTTCTTATCGTAAATCCCATCCGATATGACTAATGTAACATAATGAAACTAGCAAATAAACAACTGATTTATCTTTTGTTCACAACATGACACGAAAACGCAATTATCGATTTTTTTTTTCAAAGGAATATTTCCAAAAAACAAAACAAAATGTCTGAATTAAAACTGAACGTGCCAGATTTGGCCTGCAATAAGAACTACAGTATTATATGTACGATGGAGTATATATATCTATTCTCAGTCTCCAATTAGTGATGCTAGATAAGAAACTAGATCATTTGACTCATTCAGTAATAGAACACAATTTTCACTGTCTTTCTTTCGGCTTGGAATTTTCTTAGAATGTACGATTATATTTATTGTACTAGACTTTTTCGTCATTCTAATAATTTATTATCTAGCATGACTAATATTGGTTAAATCTCTTTCGAATTTATCTGTCCTATAATGGGAACTTTAACGAAAGATCCAGTTATACTACTAGAAAATGTAAGTCAGAATGCATTAAATCTTATTTCACTAGAAGATGATATCAAACAAAAAAAATATCGTTCTCAAATTTCAAAGGCGATTTATTATCTTTCGTTTCGTCAATGATAGAAATCTTGAACCTGTCTTCAGTTTTAGGAATGCTGCTACGACCCATTGGCATTAGAACAATGGCTTCAAAATAATGCCGCAATTCCATTGACAGGTCAACCACTAAACAATCCGAAATTTATACCGAATAAGAATCTTAGATGAAACATAGAGAGATTTCAACTTCAACAGAATCAATGCAGGTCGACTCTGAACTTTGATTCATTCACTTGGTCTAATAAACTTGACATTAAATGGAGCGATTTCTCTACCCTTACAATCATTGTTTCTCTTCTCGGCCCATCGAATGTAGGTAAGACGACGTTGGTCGACAAGTTTTACAAGCATCGACCTTCTTCTCAACGCATGTATAGGGTACCTACATGCTCAATAGTTACGCATGTCTTCTATTTGAATGGATTCTTCGAAGGCAAGTATGTCATTGTCGTTCGAATACTTGATTGGTCAGGTTCTGAAAAACACAACTCAGTTTTCAATGAGCACTTTCAAAATTGTTACGGTGCTATCTTAATGAGTGATCGATGAAGTTAGAATCGTTTGAAAAACTCGAACAAAATTGGTATAATGAACTTCACGCCAGATCAATCATTCCAAATGTGAGAACTGTGGTGGTATGCAATAAGGTGTGGGTGTGGGTAGAGTGGGGGGGGGGGTGGATGTGTGTGGGTTTGGGTGTGGATGTCTGTAGGCGTGGTGGGCGTGGGTGTGGGCGGTTTAGGCTGTAGTTGTAGGTATTTCTTTCGTGCTCACCCACGCTCATACATACCCCCACATCCAAATTACCTACAAATCTATTAGAATACCTGAAACAAGTGTAAGAACAACTAATCATTGAATTGAAATCATTTGACAATGAATACCATTTTCGTGGGTTCTTTTACAGTTTAATAATTCTTATCGAAAATCGGTTATTTATTTAGATATATTAAATTATATGATGAAGTCGACCCTATATTTCCACCGTTATCGTTTTTTTCATCGATCAATCACAATTATTCATCATTCATTTATTGGCATAATCCAAATTCGTTCAATATATGTAATCATGAAACGATGATACAAACCAATTCTGTATCTTGGCAAAAACCTTGATTTCAGATTTGTTCTTATCGCCAATAAATTCTATAGTATGTTATGAAGTTTGTGGCAACATCGAACAGCATCAAATTCAAGACGAAGTATTCATTTAGACTTTTTCGAGATTTGGTCCTGCTAATTGCACACTAAAATAAAATATGTTGCAAGCTCTCTCATGAAAATGTGTCGTATTATGAATTTGCCGTGTTCTGTCTGCTGACTATTCATTCACCGTTCTGTTTTGCACAGACACAGCTACATACCGACAACTCGATTGAGCACGCGATACTTGTGTATTTTCGTGTGTCTTTTTTTCTAGATTATTCCTCGATTAGTTGTTAGTCGAGAATATCCTGATCTCGATCAATGATCGAGAGAGGACTACCCTGAATCGGTCTAATAGAGATCAGACTAACTAGAGACAGACAGATTTCAAGATCTGACCGACTTGAATTTTTTGAGAACAGGAATAATTAAATCAAATTAAGTTGAAAAAAATTTCGTCATTTGCTTTTACAGAAAAAAAATAAAAAAATGTGCTGTACACTACTAGATTCGAACCATGGTTTCAGAATGTATCGCAACGAGTACTTCGTGGGATACTTCAATGTATCGTACATTGTGTCGCAAAGTACGACACATATGACAAATTATATTTTAGTGTGTGGATTTTGTTTTTCTCAGAGATATCTGGCGACTGAAATTTTAGTTTCAACCCAGTCCAACCAAATGTTGAGCCTGTTAGATCAAAGTTTCTGCTACCAATGTGAAACTTTTAGCGCTAATAGAACTCGAAGAGCTGACACTGACTTTCTCAGCTGGCTTTTTTAATTTCCCATCAACATTATACCTCAAATAGTTGTTATATTGAACTTGGAATAATCGATAATATAAAGGGAATACCAAGAGAATATTACATAGAAATACTATAGTATAATATGCACTCGCCTATCTGAACTGATCATCCATAGAGAAGTTAAACATACAAAATAGTGCTCTGAATCAATTAAATAAGTTGTGAAAGAATATCTAAAGTCTAAAAGATCTTAACGATTCAAAATAGCAGTGAGAATTTGGATATCAAGCTTTGCCTAAGATGAACATACGTATGATCCTTAAGAGCATACCGGGCTAAAATCTACAAGTATGTTTTAAGATTGATTACAGATATTGCTTTAAAAATAAATGATGACTAATTGCATTGTTATTCCACTATACCATCGAATGCTATGTTGTTTGTCGAACGGCACTTTGGTCGACAGACTTTCCGTCGAAAGTGAATTATTTTCTTCTTATTTATCTCGCCGTCAGAAGACAAGTTCAAAAGTATCTCTTAATTAACTTTGTCTCTTTGGCGATGGTGGAAGAATTTCAGGGCACTATTGAATAGAATTACATACTTTTCGTCGAAAAGTACTTCAAGACAAGGTTTGTAGTCCCCGAGACAATTCCGGATCCTTCAATTCTTCAACAGAACTGTTCAGCGTTAAGAGGACAGTGAATTTTCTTTCACATTCACGTTTGTAGTGCCCTCGTCCTCACCGTTGCCTTCACCCTCACATTTGGAGTGTCTTGCATGGCTGTTGCCCTCACAGTCGTGCTCACTCTCACTCACCCTTGCCATCACATCATGCTCACCCTCACATTTGGAGTACGCCTACATGGTCCTTACCACCACCCTCACGCTCACCTCACCTTTACATTTGGAGTACTCTCCATAGCCAAGAAAATACGTTCGACGAAAAACAGATATCTATCTGAGTTTATTGATGAAGTGCTTTGTCGACGAAGTGTCGTGTCGACAAGAATTTTTTGACGAAATGCTTGTCGACAAAGTGTCGTGTCAACAAGAATTTTTTGACGGAATGCTTGTCGACAAAGTGCCGTGTCGACGAAAAGTTTTCGACGAATAACATGATTACCGTACCATCGATTTGTGTGGTAATAAGAAGCTCGATAACATGAAAAAGATTTTTAAAGAAAATGCAATCAACGGTGAAAAGATAAAAGCGATACTGGCTGGAAATTGCTTCCATTTGATATACGGATGGGATCGAACGAAGGCATCGAATATACTTGAAATTAGAAAGGCGCTGCAAACACAGAACATCGACATTATTCTCACGATGGGATTCATTGTTCTACACAATGAGATTCAATGAATGAACAAGTAACACATCACAGGTGACTATAAGGTTTTGAGTACAGAATGAAATATATGTAGACTTCTAGAGTACGACTTCCTCTGTCAAATGGCGTATGTATTATCAACTTCTATTGCGTACCATTGACTTGTCGATAGATGGCGTCATCATCGCGCATTCTGTGGTGACCGCGGCGAAGGTGGCGTTATCTATAGACAGATCAACGGTACACAATAGAACTTTATAATACATGCATCATTGGATAGAGGAAGCCTTTCTTTACAAGCCTACACCTATCCTGCTCTGTAGCCAAAAATGACTTTGAAATTTATAGTCGTCTTTCCGGCAAATGGCGATATCGATATCGACAATGTTCCTTCACGTCTGGGTGATCATGTCTCTCAAATGATTTCATAAACATGAACCATCCATGTGGAGATTAGTACGATCGAAAACGTTTATTATAAATGAAAAGACTTAGTTAAGTTCTTCAAAAAAGGATCTAAAGAAAAACGTTACAGAGAAATTTGTACAGAAAAATAATGCGAACGCCTCTCTTTACATTGAATATGGTATTAAATCATACATCACAGTCCTTAACAGTTACTGTGATTCATGTTTTCATCAAGCCTTGACATGCCTGGTCCAAATTGAAACGTATATCGAACGTTCGTTTTAACCATTACACCCAATTTATAATACCATCGAATAGCGCGAGCAAATTTATCATAAGTCATTGCTCGATTTGATTGTCGAGATTTAACTTTTTCCCATAGAGTAGCAACCTCATTTGGTTTATGAATCTCAAACATTCCACTAGATCGATCTGTATATGATGCATAAGAAGCATAATGTGTTTTATTGAGAAGGAGACGAAGAAATTCGAGGAGACGAGGGGATCTGTAACGATCAAAACTTGAATCAAAAACAAGCCATTCACTGAGTTCAAATGGTATATCAGTTTCACATGTCGATGACTGTTCACCAAGAGGATTGGTTGTGCACGTATCTGGCGTCCATTGCGACTCATCATTATCGACAGATTCACAAGATTCACCCTCGATAAGAACGTTCGGATATGTATCGACTAGACCTATCTTAAGGTAGTATTTAATTTCATCGATTTTGGCCGAATCCACATCCGTTCTGCTCATGATGGTCTAGTCGATAACAGCAAAAGAATAATCGATAGTGTCAAAAATGAAAAGTAAATACAAGAGATAGATGACAGTAGAAAACAGATGAATATTATTGTGAAAATAACAGACAGAGACAATAAAACTGCTGAAATGTAGTATATATACAGTACAGCTTTTGTATCATGAGATTTCGATGAAGTCAGTAATTACCAACTTGCGCAATTTAAAAATTCGAACGCAAAAAATAGTCATGTTGGAAATTACCTTTTTTCCGTTTCTCTTCACGTATGCACACAAGATGCAGCTCAAAATCAACAAAACATCATCATTCTGAGAAAGTTTACAATGTGCGAAAACATTTTTCGCTCGTTTCCAGCGTGATGAGTTGGATTTTGCCAAGATTTATAAGGTCAAATTACTAATAAATTGTTGACAAGAAAAAAAACGCTGAGATACGATTGCATGTGCATTGTTTCAATAGGAAGAGTGTGCGAAAAAGTTTTTTTATAAAGTGAATCATGTATTCAGTGACTCATTTCAATGGATATTGACGTGTAGAATGTTGCCTGAAACTATTCGTTTTCATTGAATAAATATTCGCCATATGTAATCGCTAAGTTTCAACTGGAGTGAATGAGTAATGGTTCTCATGAAAGATGGTAAAACAAAAGCGTGTTTTAAATATTATCGAATATGGATATGTGAAGAACGTCGAATATTCAATAGGGAACTTCTAATGAAATAATTAAACTGAATGCCGAAGCATTCACGTAGCCCTATGTTTTTATAGCACTCTGAACCATTCCAGAATAACTGGAGATCGAATGATCGAATCCACGCATCGACTAAATGCTGTAATAGACAGCAAGTTGAATGGCCAGCCATGTTTCAGTGTGCCTACGGAGTCACGACAACAAAATATGGAAAGTAAGTGTAATTCAGCGAAAATTATACAGCACTGGGGTAAAGCAGTAGAAATCGTTGTTCTAACTAGAGAGATACAACTAAAAAATAGATCGCGTGTTTCATCGCTGAGCAGCAGGCGAATGAATGTGAGCATGTGGTCACTGGTTATGATGCAAAATTTAAAATTCTGAATTTATATATTCATATCTAATGAGTAACAATTGTAAGTGAAACTTTTGGAAAAATTAATAAAAAAAAGGTACAGTTGTCATTAAATCGAGGATGACTCATTGATATTTTCTCTTTTTGGAACATATCGAAACACCCTAGAAGTCATATCTCATCTGAAAAATTTCCGTACTGAATTCAACTAGAAAAAATTGCTGCTTTTTTTTCCTGAACTTCGGATTGTCTGGTTGAGCAACGGATATTTTTGTAGCATCCAACATCCGCAAGTCACGAAATACGGCCACATCCAACCGAAAAATTCGGGAACATGGTGAGAACGTGGAAGCAGGGATCTAATGATCAGACTCAATGACCAGCTCCGCCTGTTTACGGTCGGTTACGATCGGAAGTAGTAAAATATTCTTAATGGACTCAATCATGTGGGTTCTACCAGAGGCCATGCGAAGATCCCAAGATTGGCGAGGTTTATACATGATTCCCGATGTTTTTAAGACTGCACGGTGGGAGAAAGGGTAAAATTTGGCAGAAACTACCTTTGTGTCAGTTTTTTGTAATGGAGAGAGGAAGAAAGGAAGCAGGTGACCTCTCTCTAGTCGCCAAACGGCTTGCCACCACACCCACATTCTGCGCTTCTCTAATCCTGATCAGCTAGTGGCAGCATTGCTTGCTGACAGGCAGTCATTTTAATTGACTTTCTACTAGAAAAGTAGCAGGTACTTCGTAAAGGCAAGTTTCTCTCAAAATCTACCAAAGCGGTGAAAAACTTTGGCAGAAGTGTCGAACGCTTTCAATTTTAGCCAACTAGATTCTTCTTATCAGTATCCCTGGGTGTAGAAGAAAATGTCTTGTGGAGATACCCAGACAGTCAGAAACTTCCGAAACCATGTGTAGACACAGAAAAAATTGGGCGTTTTGGAGAGGAAAATCGCAGTTTCCAAAGGTCGCCGAAAAACAGTCAAAAAAGACGCCGTGAAAACGATCAATTTTTTAATATCCAACTTGTTTTATCGCATTTTCATTGGCCTCAAAGCAGAAAAAAGATCCCGAATACACGTGTAAACTCCTAAAAAGTTGATTTTTTGAGAGTTTACACACGTATGAACAGGTACAAATAATGGAAATACAATATATGTGCCCACACACGTTTATATTTTACACTTTTTTACCATTTTTACGACCGCTTTCTCAGAAACGTGTTTAAATGGCCAGAACATCAATTTTTTGGGTGTTTACATGGGTTTTCTGGAATTCTTATCTGCCTGGATAGTCTAAAATTCAGAAAATCCTGGTAATTTACTGGGTAGTAGTGAATAATTTTCAATTATTGGGGTGGGGGAGGGGAGGGCGTGTGCACATCCCTCACTTTCGCGACTTCTGCTAGTATATAGAGAAAAGTATATAAAAAAGAAAAAGAGTAGATGACCATAAAACAAAAAACTACGTTCTAGAATAGCAGAAAATTTATACTCTGTGTATATAACGTTCAGTGTCTGTCTGTGTGGATGCTAAAAGTTAAAGCTTAAAGGTCCAGAATCAAAGATTATGGTGTTGTTGCGCGTAAGGTGCGGTGGAGTGAGTGGCTGGATGAGAGCTGGTGTAGAGTGTGAAGTAAAGGTGTTGGATGTAGGTGTGATGTGGGGATCAAGAAGGTATGGTGTGCGAGTGAGGGAGGTATGATGTAGGGCGAGAGAATGTAATGTTAGGATGAGCGGGCTGTGATGTTGGGATGGCATGGTAAGTTCCTATTTCCAGAAAATTCAAATTTCGATATCCCATTACACAATACGTGACACTATCTACAGAACATTACTTCCACATTGCGAATTAATGCTATTTGATGTATATCTCGAAATTAATCTTAACACACTCTATTAAAATTTCTACAAGTTCCAATCGGACCTAAGCATCAGTTAAAACATTATTTTAACATGAAAAGTATATAGAGACATAGTCTACATCCTCGAACTTGGGTAGGATTGGGTTGGGCCAGGAAATTCATTTTAACAGGAGCAAGGTATAGGAATACAATCTATATTTATTGGGTTGAGTTGGGTTGGATCAGGAAATTCATTTTTATATGAGAAGTGTATATGGATATAGTTTATATTTATTGGGTAGGGTTGGGTCAGGAAATTCATTTTTATATCAGAAGTGCACAGGGATACAGTCTGTATTTTTGGGACTGACTTAGGTTGGGTTGAATGAGGAAATTCATTCTAATATAGGAAGCGTATAGGGATATAGTCTATATTTTTGGGGCTGGGTTGGATTCGGTGAGGAAATCCATATCCTTATTTCTTGCTATGTGAAAACTCGCCATTGGGTGACTTCTAATCTTAGAAATGATGCTTTGTGCTTTCGGGTAGTTTTTCACTATCTGCTTGACTTCTAAAATATATTTATAATAAAACCTTCGCTTTTTCATCTTAATATGAATGAAGAAAATGATGGAATTCATGTACGGGTGTGCTTGAGAGGATTAGTATTGATGTGGCTATTGTTTTCGCTTGTTGGCGCTCGACTAATGACACTCAGCGACATCCATACTCCTCTGAACTGAGGAAATGTGATAACATGTTCTTTTAGAATTCCCTTGGAAAGTGAGTCAGACGGTGGCATAGGAGATATATAAGATATGAGTCATGGAGGCACATAGGAAAGAACTGATATAGAGCGTATGTGGGTTGTTGGATGCGTTTGATGTTTCCGCGGTACCCACACCATGTGCAATGCCTTGTACGTGTGTTGTCATGTGTGTC